TGTTGTCTTGTTTGCCATTAATAATAGTTAAGACAACATCGGATTTGATGATAATCTTAGGCGACGCCTCTCTGGAGCGTATGATTGAGAAAATCTTGGCGTATATGACAAACATAACCAGAAGTGGTGTCAAAAATATTACGGTTATAGTCGTACGGAATCGGAAGGACAGCATAAAAGTGATGTCACACTCAGACGATTGAAAGCCTGTAAACAACATATTAGCGATTATTATGTTAAAGTTTTTTGTATAAAAACATTTTCCTTTAGATTTAAATTATATTACTTTGAAATTCTTTAGAATTTGTTGAATATTTTATATATTTATTTAAATATAATTTTCTACTCAAGAATATTCTTATATAAAGAATTGTGAGAGCTATTGATTTTTACATAAAACAGTTTATGTAAAATATTTCGCAACATGTTCAAGAATTTACACTATAATTTATTAGTACACAAATGTGTGTAATTAATAAATGTTTAATGTAATTTAACATAATTTAAAGCTCATGGCAAATAAATTTACTATAACGAGCTTTTATTGCACATAAAATTGTCTATTAAGTATATACCCGTAATAAGTATTATATAAAGAGTATTATAAAATATTTAGAGAATCTCAATAGTGAAGTGCATGTTATACACTTATGTATATAGATTTTAATCAGTTATTTAAGTATTTTAAGTATAGATAAATCCCTTTATACAACTGTATGACAAATAGAGTACTGCTTTCAAATCAAATCTCACTTATTTTCTCAAGTTTACGTCAATTCTTGGACAAAATATTGGTTTTCGTGGAAAAGTTCACATTTTATTACATAAAAATAGTTACTTACAGTGTTTTTTGGTATTAACAAGAATTGATATAAATGTCAACTTTTTGTTTTTATACAAATTGTGTACTCTACAAATACCTGTGCCGACAAATACCTTACATTTCAGCGTTGGCGAGAATTTATTATATTTTAGATGACAAGTAATGAATGCCTTATTATAATATATACAGAATATTCTGTAATGCAGTTATTGGCGCATAAAATCGTTACAAAAAAAACACTTTCCGTTTAGATCTATACTATGTTTGGTAACAATGTATTAAATTCCTGGAATTTTACATCTAACTAATCTCTTTGTATTCATACCTGAATTTCTATTTAAATCATTTTTATTTATTTTACTATTAAATAGTAGTTACGGGTGATTTAATAAAAAAAATTTATAATCAGCTTAAATGACATAAAAGTGAAAAGATTTATGTATTAGACGACAACTCCTACTCCCGATATAATAATGGTGTGAATGTCGTTTGATTTTATATCTAAATAATAGTAAAATCTACTTGTATATTTATACGGTAATTTACTCGCTAAAATATGATTATAAATTATCATATAACTTATATTGTAAATAATATTATTTTGCATAAAATATTAAGATATAATAAATTTTGATTCAATTTCTAGTGTATTAAAACGAGAGTATGTCATTGAATTAAATCAATAAAAATGGGATTAAATTAAATAGTTTATTTTTAAAATTTCAATGTAGCGTGTATATTTGTATAAAGTCTATGCTTTTTGTCACATTTCTTATACCGTAATGCCTATACATTTGGGTAAATATTGACAAGTATTGTGAAAAGGCTTCAATTGACATTTATTTTTAATAGACTTTTAAAATTAAATTAGTTATTTGAAAGTTTTGCCATAATTAGTTGTACACAATGTGTTTACATTAAATAAACACTTTTTTACTTTTTTAAAGAAAATAAAATAATAATAAAAATTAATATACAGTGTAAATAATAATAACCAGGCACACCAAATAGAAATGACATTTGAACAGACAAATAGTTGACTTACCCTGACAACTGATGCTCGAGAAGTATGTGGTGAATATAATGATGGGTAAAGTCCAGCACAATATCGACACTAAATATATGTTTCGTTTGAGATGTTGTGACGAGAATATTGTGAACCTATTGTCGTGAATATAATCAATGAATAGCTCTTAACATTTAAATCTTATAAATATTAAATCTCCGACACAATGAGTTCCTGAATATTTAATACTGTACTATACTGTTGAGACAATCTGTTGGCGTAAATTAAGTTCACTTTTATATACAAAGCTTTTGTGTGGCTATTTATTTATTTATTTTTTCCAAATAATTGTTTTATTATAACTTACTTTTGTACTATAGTTAGGGTTGAAAACAGTATAAATTATATAAATTATATTATATAAATTATATCGAGAAAAAATAAATTATATAAATTATATTTTGAAAAATAACATTATCAAGCTACATATTTAAAATATTTGTATAAATAACATGAATAGTTTACAAATTAGTTGAAGTTAGCATTATAATGTTTGAATAATTAAATTTTACGGTTATAATTAATTAAATCTACTTAAAATTAAATTTGTTGTCTTGTTTGCCATTAATAATAGTTAAGACAACATCGGATTTGATGATAATCTTAGGCGACGCCTCTCTGGAGCGTATGATTGAGAAAATCTTGGCGTATATGACAAACATAACCAGAAGTGGCGTCAAAAATATTACGGTTATAGTCGTACGGAATCGGAAGGACAGCATAAAAGTGATGTCACACTCAGATGATTGAAAGCCTGTAAACAACATATTAGCGATTATTAGGTTAAAGTTGTTTTTATAAAACTTATAAAAAAATAAAATTTCCTTTAGATTTACATTATATTACTTTGAAATTCTTTAGAATTTTTTGAATATTTTATATATTTTGTTATTAAATAATATTATATTTAAATATAATCTACTACTCAAGAATATTCTTATATAAAGCATTGTGAGAGCTATTGATTTTTACATAAAACAGTTTATGTAAAATATTTCGCAACAAGTTGAATTTACGATAACATTTATTATTCTATTAGCACAGAAATGTGTGTAATTAATACATTTTTAATGTAACTTATAGCATAATTTAAAGCTCATGACAAATAAATTTACTATAACGAGCTTTTATTGCACATAAAATTGTCTATTAAGTATATACTCGTAATAAGTATTATATAAAGAGTATTATAAAATATTTAGAGAATCTCAATAGTGAAGTGCATGTTATATATAGCTTTTAATCAGTTATTTAAGTATAGATAAATCCCTTTATACAACTGTATGACAAATACAGTACTGCTTTCAGAAAGTTTTTCAAATCAAATCCCATTTATTTTCTCAAGTTTACGTCAATTCTTGGACAAAATATCGGTTTTCGTGGAAAAGTTCACATTTTATTACATAAAAATAGTTATTTACATGTTTTTCCGTTTTTTTGGTATTAACAAGAATTGATATAAATGTCAACTTTTTGTTTTTTATTCGTCACAAATAGTGTACTTGATAAATACCTGTGCCGATAAATACCTGTGCCGACAAATACCTTACATTTCAGCGTTGGCGAGAATTTATTATATTTTAGATGACAAGTAATGAATGTCCTATTATAATATATACGGAATATTCTGTAATGCAGTTATTGGTGCATAAAATCATTTTACAAAAAAAAAACATTTTCCGTTCAGAACTATACTATGTTTGGTAACAATGTATTAAATTCCTGGAATTCATACCTGAATTTCTATTTAAATAATTTTTATTTATTTTACTATTAAATAATAGTTACGGGAGATTTAATAAAATTTATAATCAGCTTAAATGACATAAAAGTGAAAAGATTTATGTATTAGACGACAACTCCTACTCCCGATATAATAATGGTGAGCATGTCGTTTGGTTTTATATCTAATAATAGTAAAATCTACTTGTATATTTATATGGTAATTTACTCACTGAAATATGGTTATAAATTATTATATAACTTATATAGTAAATAATATTATTTTGCATAAAATATTAAGATATAATAAATTTGGATTCAATTTCTAGTGCATTAAAACGAGAGTATGTCATTGAATTAATTAAATCAATAAAAATGGGATTAAATTCAACAGTTTATTTCAATGTAGCGTGTATATTTGTATAAAGTCTATGCTTTTTGTCACATTTGTTATAATGCCTATAAATTTGGGTAAATATTGACAAGTATTGTGAAAAGGGATTTATTTTTAATAGACTTCTAAAATTAAATTAGTTATTTTTATAATTTAATTTATAACTCATTTCATACGTAAATCTATGTACATAATGTGTTTACATTAAATAAACACTTTTTACTTTTTTAAACAGATAAAATAATAATAAAAATTAATATACAGTGTAAATGATAATAACCAGGCACACCAAATGGAAATGACATTTGAACAGACAAATAGACAGTTGACTTACCCTGACAACTGATGCTCGAGAAGTATGTGGTGAATATAATGATGGGTAAAGTCCAGCACAATATCGACACTAAATATATGTTTCGTTTGAGATGTTGTGACGAGAATATTGTGAACCTATTGTCGTGAATATAATCAATGAATAGCTCTTAACATTGAAATCTTATAAATATTAAATCTCCGACACAATGAGTTCCTGAATATTTAATACTATAATATACTGTTGAGACAATCTGTTGGCGTAAATTAAGTTCACTTTTATATACAAAGCTTTTGTATAGCTATTTATTTATTTATTTTTCCAGAGAATTGTTTTATTATAACTTACTTTTGTAAGTTACTAAAAAGTTTGTAAATAACTTATTGTACATTATTTGATAATGCATCTTAGAGCGAATAAAAATAAAATACAAACCTATAAATAGTTTTTAATTTATAGTGCCGGTAGTTATATAATATGTATAGTACAATAGTACTTGTATTATACAATAGTACAATTGTACCACTTATAGTAAAATATAATAGTAGTTGTATAATAGCGTAAATTGAGTTACAACTAGTAGTAAGTTATTTATTATACCGCATATTATAGTATACTTTGTACAGAATATTCTGATGCAAAGAATTCTATACCTGTAATGCAATGGATTGGTAGTCCCCCTGTAATAGACCAAAGCCATGGCCAACAAATGCAGAGCTGATGCCACCAGTGATGATAATCTGAAGATTTCAAACACCAGTTGTGCACATGTATTGAATAAGACGACACCGAACACACGGGGCAGGTATGAGTTGATCAGTAGGCCGGTGCCCCCAATGACACTGTTGATGGCATCAGTTGTGGCCAAATTGAGTGATAACCGAAATATGGGTGATTTGTTACGACACCGGAGGTTACCAATGATTAACAGAATTGTGTTCAATATGAGACCAATTAAACAAACTGTGGATTGAATATAGATTTCAAATAATTGTCAGTAGGATAAAAATGATTTTTGTAATTAAGCATAAAATTAAACAGTCAATTAAAACCAAATAAATTATTCAGTTTTAGGAACAAATTTGTCTAAATAAATAATTAATTTTACAATTATATCTCATATATCATTTATCATTCATTTATCATTCACTATAATAGCAAAACAATAAGAAAAATTATAATCACAAAAATGGTTGCAATTAATTTAAGTGAAAATAATGAAGTCATCATTTTTCGTACAAATAAATGTGATAAAACGAGATTAAACTTCTCTATTATCAGAATTAAAGCACAGAATATTCTGTTCAAATAGTATACCTGTTAATAGTATGGGACAAAAGTATTGATACAGTGATAGTACGAGTTCAGCACCGCTTAGATTATTAACAGTGCCTATAAATTGTTGAACACTACTACTATCGCAATAATCCATTGTAATTAATAATTATACATTTTTGGCACTAAATTTCAAACATTCAAGAAAAATCTATAGTCAAAAATATTTGATCACATCTATAGCACGGAATTTTTGCCATTAAATTCTCAGCGATTCTGTCATACAATAAGTTTTATACTTGTTGTCCGATTCTGCGCTCAAAGAATATTCTGTGATTTTGATAACCAGTAATAAAAGTACATCTTAATTTCTATAATGGTAGTGGGAATATAATAAAATTAGTAAATACATGATGGGAAATATAATATTACAAATTGTTTCATGAGAAAGTAATTATAATTTGCATGAAAATAATTCAATATCAAATTTGTCATACGGTATATCAAAGCTACGGTAAGTGCTAACAGGTATGCATTAGTTATAAATTTGTAATACATTATTAAATTAATGTATTTATAACTGGAAAATTACGTTAAACAGAAAAGTTACTAAAGACTATGAAAGGCGGGTAAATAGACTATATTATTATTCATTAACCTTTTTGTAGACAAATATTTGTATCATTGATTATGTTATAGAAATAAATGCAAATCAAGGGACAGATAGCCTGGAGACAATTCATGGCACGGGATTTCAATTATAGTGAATCAATAAACCAAAAATGTAGTTTTTCGCTAAATTGACTTAGAATTAGCACCAGTTAGAAATACAGTGCAATGTTATTAAAATCGATGATTATATCATGCTACTGTAGGTTTTCTATATTTATTAGGTTTAAAAATAACTCAATTTCTAAATAAAATTACGTATACTCAAAGAATACTCTGCAACTATTTTGTTCCGGTACATTAAAGTAAAATCTCAATTCCTATAATATGATACAGTAATTGTGGAAAGTTATTATTAAAGTAATGAATAAATGATTGTAATCATAATTATTATAATTAATTTTTAATTAAATTAATTCATCACAAGTTAGTATAATTTACAATATAAATCTCATAAAATATTTACCCGTATAACTTATTAAGGCTAAGAGGTATACAATAGTTAAAAATAATGGCTTAAATTCTAATCAAATATTTTGTTTCAATAGAAATAAATGCAAATCTGGTGACCGATAATCGGGATGTAAATCATGGCACGGGATCTCACTTACAGTAAATTTATCGGACGTTAACTAATAATTAAAAATAATTCAATTACTTGTTTAATTTTCATACACATTGTTAACAGTGTTTGTCTGATAATAACTCACATTAAAAAACTTATCAATCAATGGCTGTTTGTCATCCCTGTCCTCGTATGACAGCAAAACCTGTGCCCCTTTTGAGGACAACCACTCGATTGTGTCGTATAGGTGTTGAACACTCTGTCCATCAAAACACAAACAAATAAATTAAAAATCAAAAAAATTATTCAAAGTCTCTCTCTCTCTCTCTCTCTCTCTCTCAACAGAATGCAAGACCTGTTCATAATAGAGACAATCGGAGACCAGTATATAGTCGATGGCATCGAGTCTGTGGCCACAGAACTCGTCACTCTTGGGATCCGTTTGACTCCAATCAAACTCTTTGACGACAACTTATTATCACTGTTTGCATTAAATTGGATAACATCTGAGATTTATATTCAAATTTCAAAGACATATAAATCATTAACTAATTTGTATACTACTACTAGAACTATAACATTAATTAAAAATAAACTTAAGGTTAGAAATTAATATAATTTAATTTCATTTTAAAAATATTTAATTTTATTTTAACAGTTAATGGTATGTCTGGAAAGAGTCGGCGATAGAAACCGATTGATAGGTTTTTCGTGTAGTAATCAATACGTTATCACCAGAAATATTGCATTCAAAGTATGTATTCATTCATAATTATGTTTCAATAATAATTTATTTTGACTTTTTATTTTCAGATGTTTTTAATATTTCTTCGCTTTCTAATATTAACCCAAAAATTAATCGCTAATTTTAAGACTGCATAAGAATAATGAATAATACATTATTCATAATAATAATATTAACCTTAGTGTACATTATTAGTTTAGTTACTTGTTAATGTTTAGTATGATAGTTAATTTAGTATTAAATAAGTGAATTATTTTGAACAATCATAATAAAATTAATCGATAAAGTAAATTATATATGTTTTTGTAAACTTATAAATTAGTGATAATTAAATAAATATAACACTAAATATTTAGCTTACAATGCAAGAACGGCAATTGTTATTCAGTTAATTAAATAAAATAAACTGGATTATACTCGTATGTTATGGTATAATTGGACTGTCCAGGTCCGGTTATCTAGCGGAATGTCTTTGGTGTCCAAATCTGTGATTATATCGGTCGACGCGCTATAAATTTTTGCTATAAAAGCCTATTAAACTACTCATTCTATACGAGTCAGAGTTTCAATTCTATGAATGAGTGTATTTCACAGCAAAAAGTATAGAGTTTTTATCGCGCGTCGACCGATATAATCACAGATTTGGACACCAAGGACATTCCGCTAGATAACCGGACCTGGACAGTCCTATTATACCATACCATACGAGTATAATCCAGTTTATTTAATTTAATTAACTGAATAACAATTGCCGTTCTTGCATTGTTAGTTCAATATATTCACATATTATAAAATATTATAAATTTATATTTTGTGTTAAAATAAAAATAAAACAATATTTTATTTAATGTTAATTGTTTAATACTCATATTAAGATATTTAGCAACATCATTAAGCTGGTAACATTGGCAACAAATAATTTATTAATAACAATTATTATATATTGTCTGTTAAAAATATTATTAAATTTTATTTAATATAACAAAATTTAATAACATATTTAAAATATGATTAATCCGTCGGATATTGAGTACCCATTGTATAAGTATTGGATATTTTATAGATTTGATGCAAACCATAGGTATGTCACTAAAAGGCAACTAATTAAACAAAAATGTAAAGTGATTGCAGTTATTATAGTAATATTGCTTAATATAATTCGTTACTTATATTGCTTATACAAAAGTGAACCAGGCACATATTTAAACATTTATTATTTTGAAATAACACAATATTTCGTCTGTTAATAATAGTATTAAATGTATTTTAATATAACAAAATTTAATAAAATATTTAAAATATGATTAATCCGTCGGATATTGAGTATCCGTTGTATAAGTATTGGATATTTTATAGATTTGATGCAAACCATAGGTATGTCACTAAAAGGCAACTCATTGTACAAAAATGTAAAGTGATTGCAGTTATTATAGTAATATTGCTTAATATAATTCGTTACTTATATTGCTTATACAAAAGTGAACCAGGCACATATTTAAACATTTATTATTTTGAAATAACACAATATTCCTGTGAGTTAAAAGAGTTTGTATACATTGGAATAGTAGCAAGCATATTTATGGAAATGTTACTGATTTATGTATTAAACACGCGTAATATTAGTCATTATAAATGGTGTGAATTACTCTCAGCTATCAATGGCTATCAAACATTTAAATCAATTGGTTTACGCTATAATTATTTAGCTGGAAAATTTAGGCATAGAATTATGCTTTTAAAAAATATGACAAACAAACTACCAGTGTTAGTTGACGCCTGTATTATATTAGTATTAATAACAATTCTAATACAAAACTTTAATCTAAATACTATTATTTACGGTATAATAGCTTGCTTTGTATTTTATCATGTTTTGTATCTGTACGTGAGAGTCACATTATGGTTTGCATTTTATTACCAAACTGTTTGTTATTATATAATATATCGCATTAAAAATTTTAACATCATTTTAACAAAAATAAATTCCAGAAAACAAAATACAAAAAGTTTATATAAAGTTGTATTGAATCACAACAAACTATGTTTGGACATTGAATTATACAATAGATTCTGGAAAAATATTTATATCGTATATTCTTATGGCTTAATACCTTGTTGTGAAATAGTGTTGAGTTTATTATTATTTGAGAAAATGTTAATAAATACCACAATATATTTCACCGTATTTCTAGTCATATATCTATTATCACTGTTTGCATTAAATTGGATAACTTCTGAGATTTATATACAAATTTCAAAAACTTATAAATCATTAACTCATTTGTATACTACTACCAGAACCTTAACATTAATTAAAGATAAACTTAAGGTTAGAAATTAATAAAATTTAATTTCATAAATTAAAAAATATTTAATTTTATTTTAACAGTTAATGGTATGTCTGGAAAGAGTCGGCGATAGAAACCGATTGATAGGCTTTTCGTGTAGTAATCAATTCGTTATCACCAGAAATATTGCACTCAAAGTATGTATCCATACATATATTAATATATTATAAATAATTCTGTAATTATTAATTATAAATTATTTTGAATATTATTTTTCAGGTGTTTTTAATATTTCTGCGATTTCTAATATTAACCCAGAAATTAATCGCTAATTTTAAGTCTACATAAGAATAATACTTTATTCATAAAAAGGATCTTGATTTTAGTGTACTGTATATTATTGGTGTATATTATTGTATGTATATTTTTGGTGTATATTATTGTATGTATATTTTTGGTATATACTGTGTTATTATTAGCCATTTGTTAATGTTTAATTTGATATTGAATTTAATATTGTATTTATTAAAATTACTTTAGTCCAGAATAAATAAAAATGCACCATCATTCATTTAATAATTATCAGAATATTTTTAAGTTAATAATTACAGATAAAACTCTGAAAGGGGAATGAATTAACGATATATTTATAATTTTAGGATATTATCCCGGGTATAAAAATGTATAATAATATACAGTATAATTTATATTACTTTAAAAGCATATAGTCTGATTTGAATATAATTTATAATTAAAAACTTATCATTTATTCGCGCATTTTCTAATTAATCTATTATATATAATAAAAGTAATTACTAAATTGAATAACAATATCATAATTATTATTATTCAATTAATTTAATTATTATTTCTATTAATATTGGTACATTATTAATTAATTATTAATACATTCTAGTACATATACGTACAGTATGTTAACAGTACAGTGTAATAGTAAGTATATGTAAATTATGCATTTGTTTTAGACCACATATATAATACGCAATAATTTATTTAATATAATTAATTTTAACTAAAAATATGCTTAATCCGTCAGATATTGAGTATCCATTGTATAAGTATTGGATATTTTATAGATTTGATGCAAACCATAGATATGTCACTAAAAGGCAGTTAATTATACAAAAGTGTAAAGTGTTTGCAGTTATTATAGTAATATTGCTTAATATAATTCGTTACTTATATTGTTTATACAAAAGTAAACCAGGCACATATTTAAACATTTATTATTTTGAAATATTACAATATTCCAGTGAATTAAAAGAGTTTGTATACATTGCTACAGTAGCAGGTATAATTATGCAAATGTTACTGATTTGTGTATTAAACACCCGTAATATTAGTGATTATAAATGGTTTGAATTATTCTCAGCTATCAATGGCTATCAAACATTTAAATCAATTGGTTTACGGCATAAGTATTTAGCTGAAGAATTTAGGCATAAAATTATGATTTTTAAAACTATGATAAATAAATTACCAATATTATTTAACACATGTGTTATATTAATATTAATAGCAATTCTAATACTAAACTTTAATTCAAATACTATTATATATGGTATAATAGCATGTTTTGTATTTTATCATATTTACTATCTGTACATGCAAGTCACATTATGGTTTGCATTTTACTATCAAACAGTTTGCTGTTATATAATATATCGCATTAAAAATTTTAACATATTTTTATCAAAATTTAATTCCAAAAAATTATTTTTTAAAACAAAAAGTTTAAATAATGTTGCATTAAATCACAACAAACTATGTTTGGACATTGAATTATACAATAGATTTTGGAAAAATATTTATATCGTATATTTTTATGGCTCAATACCTGTTTGTGAAATAATGTTGAGTTTATTATTATTTGAGAAAATGTTGTTAAGTTCCAGAATATACTTAACCGTATTTCTAGTCATATATCTATTATCTCTGTTTGCATTAAATTGGATAACATCTGAGATTTATATTCAAGTTTCGAGGACTTATAAATCATTAACTCATTTGTATATTACTATTAGTAGTTCAAGAATTATTAACCATAAACTTAAGGTTAGAAATTAATAAAATCTTATGATATACAATTTAAAAATATTTATTTTTATAGCTAATGGTATGTCTGGAGAGAGTGAGTGACAGAAACCGATTGATAGGCTTTTCGTGTAGTAATCAATACGTTATCACCAGAAATATTGCTTTCAAAGTAGGTATACCTTAACCTAAATTATTTTAATTTAATAAAATGTTTTAATTTTCAGATGTTTGTATTATTTATTCGTTTCCTATTATTGACACATAAATTAAGAGATAATTTTAAGACTTAATAATTATTATCTGAATAAAACATTAATCAATAAAATAAATTGTATATGCTTATATAAACTAACTTATAATAAATAGGTTTCAATGTTCAGTAAACTTATCAAATATTGTTAATTATTCAATTATACATTGTACTAATAAAATATATTCTGTGTATATACAGTGTTTTTTGTATAAATATATTTATCTATGTTAATTGTTTAGTACTGTATTTATGTATTAAGTATTTTAGTTTTAAGTATTATGTTTAGTATTAAGATAATTAGCAAATATCATTAAGCTGGTAACATTGGCGACAAATAATTTATTAATAACAATTATTGATATATAGTCTGTTAAATATAGTATTAAATGTATTTCAATAACTGTATAACAAAATTTAATAAAATATTTATAAATATGATTAATCCGTCGGATATTGAGTATCCGTTGTATAAGTATTGGATATTTTATAGATTTGATGCAAACCATAGGTATGTCACTAAAAGGCAACTCATTGTACAAAGTGTAAAGTATTTACACTAATCGCTATACTTGTGACTGATTTGTTAAGAC